AAAAAAAAAAAAAAAAAAACAACTAAGGTCTTGTTTAGTGGGATTGTAGTTTTTTATTTAAGTTATTAAAATTTAAATAATTAATATTAATAATTAAAAATTAAAATAGATAACTTATTAAGAATAAAAATTTAAAATTAATACCCAAAATTTGAAATTTAATTCATATATTAATCTTGTTAATTTTATTCTAAACTTTTTAAAATTTTAAAACTCAAAACTAAAAGTTCAAAATTACCCCATACTAAATGGAGCCTAAGTCCTGAAATGAAGTTGAAGATATAAAATCGTGAACGATGTTGCGAACCATAATGACACAACAAGCGACGTAACAAAACTAAATGAATACCAAGTATGAGGGCGTGTGCATCAGTGCACGAATCTGTTTTTTTCCCCCGGTACTTTGTACATAAACATGCTGTGTTGTCGAAAATTAAACAAGGAATCATTTTACAACATCACACAAATGCTGATATCAGTCTCTTAATTAAGTATACATTTTCCTAATGAATAAGCCAATTAAGAAAGATATCATGTTTTAAGAGGAGCTTTTCTCTTTACGATTTTTTTTTTTTTTTATCAGCCAAAAGAAACACTACTACATTTTACATCTATAGCTTCAAGAGACCCTGTAGTTAAATGGTGAAAATCCCATAACTAAATGGTTTAGTTATAAAAATATTTACTGTAACTTGCCATGGTTAGAAATGGCGTGGCTAAAAGTTAGCTATAGGATTTAATTGTTCCATAGCTAAGAATAATATTTCTTGCCACAAGCACAATAAGTACGTGGCTAAATGTTTTAAACCTTTTGCCACAAAACTAATATTATTCTAGTAAAAAGTTTTATTCTTTAGCTATGAAAACTAAACTTATAGCAAACTGTTTTATTTTTTAGCCATAAAATTGAATTTTATAACTAAATTAGATAAGATTGAAGCAAATAGGCTCCAATGAAGGCCACAAAGGCTATAAAGCCGATATTAGGAGAATACTACCAGTTTGACAAGACTCCAACGTACAAGGTGAAGAAAAATAGTGCAAGGGAAGGATGTTTTAATACAATACTGAGGGTATTTCTGTTAAGTTATATTCTGTACATTGAGTAGCCATTATATAAATATTATTTTCCTAATACTGTAGAGACGTTGTCTTTCAACCGTTGTACTTGTCTTCCCTTAATCTGTGCTCATGGGATTGATTAACTGCTTTCTTTATTCCTCGATTAGCTCTATTAGCTAAGTCTCCTATCAACTGTTTCCTTTCATGCATTGATCCTACCTTTCTACCTTCATACTCCCCCTCAAACTGGAGGTAGGTGATTCAACGAACCCTAGTTTGAATTTCAACAGTTGAAATTGTGCTCGTGGAAGAGGTTTTGTGAGTAAATCTGCAACTTGATATGAACTAGGAATGTACTTGGTGATTAAAGTATTAAGAGCCACTTTTTCTCGAACAAAGTGATAATCCAACTCAATATGCTTTGTACGGGCATGAAACATAGGATTCACAGACATATGTAATGAGCTAATGTTATCCGAGAAGAGTTAAGGTGGATGAGGAAGGGAAACTCCAATGTTTCGTAGAAGATAGGTGATCCAAGTGACCTTAGCTATGGTAGATGCCAATGCTCTATACTCTACTTCAGCGGTTGAACAAGCAATGGTAGATTGCTTCTTCGAAGACCAAGAAATACAGTTTGCTCCAAGAAAGACACAAAATCTTGTGGTGCTTATTCTAGTAATTGGACATCCAGCCCAATCTGAATCACAAAAACTAGTTAAGGATAATGTATTATAAGAAGAAAATCGAAGACCATGATGCATAGTCCCCTTAATATATCTTAAAATACGTTTAACTTGTCGGAGATGAGTAATAGTGGGTTGTTGCATGAACTGGCAAGCTCTATTAATAGCATGACATATGTCAATTCAAGTAATTGTCAAACATTGTATGGCCTCAACAATTTTCCTATACTCTTGTGTATCCACGGGATCATTGTCTCGTGGAGTAACTATGTCCTTAGTTGCCAATGGGGTAGCAATAGTTGCAGCTTTAAGCATGGAAGCTCGAGTAAGAACATCTATAGCATATTTGGCTTGTGATAGAAAAATGCCCCCTAGTAATTTGGTAACTTCAATAACTAGAAAGTAGCTAAGAGATCCGAGGTCCTTAAGGGCAAACTTGCTACTCAAATTGTTTATAACTTCTTGTAGTAATGTCAATGAGCTGGCTATGAAGACAATGTCATCCACATATAATAAAAGTAGTATAGTGTCCTGACCATTACGAAGAATGAATAAAAAGGAATCTGCTTTACTGCAACAGAACCCCATTTTTAAGAGTTGAAGAGTGAATGTGTCAAACCATGCTCTTGGAGCCTGCTTGAGACCATAGATAGATTTTTTTAAGCTTACACACATAGTTAGGATGAATCATATCTTCAAAGCCAAGTGGTTGGCGCATGTACACTTCTTCCTTGAGGTTGCCATGGAGAAAAGCATTCTTTACATCTAACTGTCTAAGTGGCCAGGACAATGTTATAACAAGGGCAATGACTAGCCGCAGGGTTGTTGGTTTTAGAACAGGACTAAAAGTCTCCTTAAAGTCTACTTCTGGTACCTAAGAGTATCCTCGTGCTACCAATTGGGCTTTAAATCTATCCACACTGCCATCAGGATTCAACTTTGTTTTGAACACCCATTTTGATCCAACAATATTAGTTTGTGGTGAAGGTGCAGGAACCAATGTCCATGTGTTGCTTTTATGAAGTGCCTCTAGTTCTTCCTTCATTGCAGTGACCCAATGTGGAAGTTGTAATGCTTTCTTTACTATTCTGGGTTCTTGAATGTTGAAATTTGCATCAATTAGAGAAGAGGTATTAGTGGTCATAACATGAGTAGATTTTGGAAACACAGTTTGAACATGTCCTGTGTGCTTCCCTGATTTTGTTCTAGTCACCATAGGATGAACAGATGTTGAAGTAGTGTTATGAGGAGGTGGTGGTGCTCCTTCACATTCTGAGCTAGATGTCTCTGGTGTGAATGAAGGTTGTAAATTGTTTTATCCTCCTTGACCAATACTTGATGTAGATGGACTGACTCTCTCAGCTTCCTACGTATTAATCATGGCTGGAGTAGATCCAGGATCTTCTAGAATCCATGCTGTTGTTGATAAATCTTACTGGAAGTCTGTGTCATTATGGTTTGAGCATGGACTTTCCTCATCTATTGTAATTGCTGGAGTTGTGCTAGGTGCTATTTTATTGTCTTTCTCTTGGTTAGTACCAATGGCTATAGAGCTTGATGTAGAACTAGGCTCATCTAGCTTTCTTGAGGCCTGTAAGTGTGGGGAAGCAGGTGTCCACTCATCATAATCTGGGTATTTACAAAGCTCTCCACATGTACTAACATTACTTGAAAGCTGTGAGAGATTAGTATATGGAAGAAAGTTTTCATAAAAAAACAACATGCCTTGATATGTATACTCATTGAGTAGGAGGGTGTAAACATTTGTACCCTTTGTGAATTGGACTATATCCAATAAAGACACAAGGTAAGGACCTTGGTTGAAGCTTATTTGTAGCATACTCTCTAAGATAAGGAAAACAACGGCATCCAAACACTTTTATCATAGAATGGTCAGGAACCTTACCACAGAGAAGATAATAAGGACTCTTATTTTTCAGTACAGGTGTAGGCATCCTGTTGATAAGAAAGATAGCAGTAGAAAAGCTATGTACCTAGTGGTGTGGTGGCGTTGTGGCATGTTAACATGAATTAGCATTGTTAAACTGGTCTTGACTATAAGCCAGTGTTTTCTCTTTGCGATTCCATTTTGCTCTGGCGTGCCAAGATAAGACATTTGTTGTTTGATGCAACACCCAGCTGGGTAATTGGTAAATACCTTGCTGCAAAATTCAACACCACCATCACTTTGAAACATCTGTATATTTTTGTTAAAATGAATTGCTACCATTTTCTGGAATTTCTGAAACACATCAAAGAAATCAAATT